ATTTTGAAGTCTGCTCATTTTTATAGTGGAATGTTCCCTCATTCATTTTTTTTATACTAAACATAAACACAAGGACCATGTCTATTATTTCCTTTCCAGTGTGTATAATATAGCACTTCAAACACCATTTGTTAAATTAATAGTATGTCTACTATACATTCTCAGTTTTTTACCTTTTCATTTTTAACAGCCGTATTAAGATATAATTGACATATAATAAATTACACATATTTAAAATACAATGTGACAAATGTGTAACATATACACACATAAACACACTCCTGAAACCTTAACCATAGTCAACACACACACATATATATACACATACACACACACACACACACACACTCCTGAAACCTTAACCATAATCAAGATAATATACCCTCACCTCAATGAGTGTGTATATATATGTGTGTGTGTGTATATATACACACACACACACATACACACATACACAAACACTCCTGTAACCTTAACCATAATCAAGATAATGAATATATCCTCACCCCAATGGATCCATATATATGTATATGTATATACACACACACATATATATATGTACACACACAAACACACACATACTCCTGAAAACTTAACCATAATCAAGATAATATATCCCCACCCCAGTGGGTTCACACACACACACACACACACACACATATTCCTTATGCCCACTTATTGGCTCTTCCTCCCATCCCTCCTTGTTTCTGGCACCCACCGATCTGCTTTCTGGCCCTGTAGTTGGCATGTTCTGAAGTCCTGTGTAAGTAGAGTGATACACCATGTTCTCATTCTCATCTGGCTTCCTTTGTATGGCACAGTGTTCCTGCAGAGCCACCTGCTATAATGTGGGTTGATAGTTTGTTCCTGGACCTTGCTGAGTTGTGCTCCATGGTGTGTTTATAAATTTTACCATGAACATTTGGGGTATTCCTGATTTGGGGCTCTTACAAATGAAGCTGCTACAAACATTCTTTGTACAAGTCTTTGTATCAGCATTGCTTTCTTTTCTCTTGGCTCAGTAGGAAGGGATCAGCTGGATCCTATGGTAGGTGTGTGTTTAACTTTTGGAGAAAATACCAAATTATTTTTCAAAATTACCATTTTATAATACTACAAGTATAATACTACCAGGGCTTGTTTTACAGAGCTTATCCTTAATTAACTTTTTATGCTGTTACAAATAGTATTTTAGAGTTTTTTTTTTCTTTTTTAAATTTCCTATAGGGTGCATACACTCACGAGAGAGAGAGAGAAAGAGAGAACTCATCCCATAGTGGGGATAGCCACCCCACAATCCCTTCTCCTCCATCTCTTCTTGGAATTTTGGGCATGTGCACACATGTGCCCAGTTTGATTTTGAAGCCACCATGTTTGGGACTACAACTGTAAAATTGACCATATGGAATTCAGCTGCCATAACCCCCCACCACCTGCTGGGGCAGTATTTTAAATTTTCATTTCTGATTTGTTGTCTCAATTTCTGATTGTCACTAGTTTATAGAAAAGTAATTTATTTTTGGATATTAATCTTGTATTCTGCAACCTTGGTAACCTCAGTTATTAATTTGCAGAGGGTTTTGGAGATTTCATTTAATTTTCTTCATAGACAATCAGATCCTCTGCAAATAAAGGCAATTGCATGTTTTATTTCCCTGTCTGAATAAGTTTTACTTATTTTGCTTTATTACACTGGCTAAAACTTCTGATACAGTGTTGGACAGAGAAGAGTGGGTACCCTTCTTCTATTTGTAAGCATGGAGGGAAAGCATTCAGTCTTTCATGACTTAGTAAGGTGTTAAATTTAGGCTTCTCATCAGTGTCCTTTACCAGGGTGTTCACGTTCCCTTCAGTTCTTAATTGTCTTAAGATTTTAGCAGGAAACGATGTGGGATTTTGTCTGCATCTATTGATAGTAGGCAAATTATATTGATTTTGAATGTTAAACCAAGTGTGTATTTCTATGATAACCTTACTTGGTTATGGTATTTTATTGTATTATTGGATTTGGCTTGCTAAAATTTTGATTCTAACATTTGCATCTATGCTTATGAGTGTTATTGGCCTATAGGTTTCTTTCCTGGTAACAGCTTTATCTGCTTTTGCTATCTAAATACTGTGCACTTCTTAGATAGTAAGGATTCCCTCCTTTCAGTTTTCTAGAAGACTCTTCATATAATTACTGGTATTATTTATTTCTTAAATATTTAGTGGAAGTCACCAGAAAAGCCATCTGACTGGCATTTTCTTTGAAGGACATAGAATTCTAGATTACAGGGTTGTTGCCCCTACCCCAGTATTCTAAAGATGTCACTGCCACTTGCATTGTTGCCAATATGAGATCTGCTATCCCTGTTGTCATTGTCCCTATATATGCAGAGTACCTTTATCTATGACTGCTTTTGAAATGTTCTTTTTTTTTTTACTAGTTTTGATTAATTTGGCCATAATATACCTTGGTAAAATTATCATGTTTCTTGTGCATCAGCTTGGAGTCTGTGTGTTTATATCTTTATTAAATTTGGAAAATGTTCTGCCATTATTTCTTAAAATAATGTTTCTGTTTCCTCTCTCTTCTTTCCAGTTACTGGTATAGTAGACCTTTCCGAGTTACAGCTTTCATGCTTTGTTCACTCTTTTACTCTCTTCTCCCCGAGTTTCTGGGTAGTCTTTATTGCTCTGCCTCCACATTTGCCAGTAACTTCTATTAGGTCTCACATACCATTAATCTCACCCACTGTATTTTTCATCTTATACATTGTAGGGTTTTTTTGTTTGTTTGTTTTTTGGAGAGGTTTTTGTTTTTTCTTTGTTGTTGTTTTTGTTTTTTGGGTTTTTTTGCTATGGCGCGTGCGCTCGCCAGACAGACAGAGAGAGACAGAGAGACAGAAAGCGAGAAATCACCCCCTAGGGGGGATGGCGATGCCGCAATCCCTTCTCCTCCATTCTCCTCTTGGGATCTTGGGCACCAACTATAGAAAAATAAAGGCATAGAAAAACACACACACACAAAATATATATGCATTGTGTTTGGTGACAGAATTATAGGTATTTTTTTCCAACAATTTTAGTTATTTTCCAAATTGTCTGGAGAGTAGGCTCCATATTAATAATAATTAATAATAATAAAAATATATATATATATATTTCCACATGTAAATACACCGAATGGCCTTGGCTGCTAATTAGAACATCTGTGTCAGCCTTGGGTCAGTTTGGATCATTTTCTACATTGTGGTTCATATTCTCCTGCTTCTTTGCATGTTCGATAATTTTTTATTAGATATCAGGCATTATGATTTTTACTTTGTTGGGTGATGGGTATTTTTGGTTTTCTGTATATATTTTTGAGTTTTGTTCTGATATCCAGTTAAGATACTTGGAAACCAATTGATCCTTTCATGCCTTGAGGTTTGCTTTGTGAAACCTGAGAAATGCTCGGTCCAGGGCTAATTATTTCCCCTACTAAGATGAGGTCATCGGTGTACTTTACCAGTGCCGTGAGAATTCCGAGTGTTTTCAGTCTGGCTAGTGGGAACAGGGCAGTGCCTGCCGCTCTGGGGAACATAGAGCTCCTTGGACTGTTGGCGTCCAGGAGCTTCTTTACACATGTGCCTTTTTATTTTGCCCTATTTTCTTGTTTAAACTTTAAATGAGAAACTTTATCAGTCTTTATCTTTATGATTTCTGTGATTGGTGTCACACTTAGAAATAACTTACACGTTTAAAGCTTATGAAAATATATCTTTTTTCTAGGATTTTAATTGTCTTATATTTAAGTGTGTTATTAATATGGAGCCTACTCTCCAGACAATTTGGAAAATAACTGAAATTGTTGGAAAAAAATACCTATAATTCTGTCACCAAACACAATGCATATATATTTTTTGTGTGTGTGTTTTTCTATGCCTTTATTTTTCTATAGTTGTGATGCTAATGTGTATCATTTAGTAGTTCGTCCAGTGTATCTTCAACATCTTTTATGTTGCTACATAATCTTAATTATATTTTAATGACTGCATTATATTTGATCAAGTGACTTTGTTGTAATTGTATTACCTTCACCTATATTGTTAAGCCTTTTCAGTTTTTTTTTTTTCTTCTTTTTTCAGGGATTTTATCACAAGGTACATGTGCTCACCAAAAAGAGACAGAGACAGGAAGTGAGAAATCACCACCAAGGGGTAAGGCCATGTTCCAGTCTCCTCTCCTACATTCTCCTCTTGGGACTTTGGGCATCATATACACACACCTGGCATCATTTTCAGACTACAGTGTCTGGGAATTGAAACGTGGAGTCACCCAGGTGGGAATCCAGTGCCTTAACAACCACACCACCTGTTGGCTTTAGTTTTTTCCTTTTTAAATGGAGAATTTAAAATATGACTACTGGGACCGGCAGTTAGTGTAATGGCTATGTCACTGGACTCCCATGTAGTTGACCGTGGTTCAAGTCCTGGACCCGGTGGCTTAAAACTCATGCCAGGCGCGTGTGCGTGCGTGCCCAGGATCCCAAAGGGAGAATGGAGGAGAAGGGATTGTGGCGTGGTCATCCCCCCTGGAGGGTGATTTCTCACTTTCTGTCTCTCTGTCTCTCTCTGTCTCTCTGGTGAGTGCACTTATCCTATAGCAAAAACCTCTACAAAAAAAAAAAACAATGACTACTGGGCAGGGCATTTTAGAGAATCTCAAATTCCTGTTTGTACAGGACTCTGCAGAAGCAGAGATGCAGGAAGGGCCCTGACTCCTCATGTCATTGCATCCCTCTTAAAGCCCACTCTAATACGAGTAGTAAAATCCTGTCTGCAGACACATAAGAGGATAAAAACATCAGTTCTTAATTATCCACATTATTTATTACTCATGTACTTATAAAAAAATCTAAAATATCTAAAAAGTAAAATAAAATATAAAAAAAGTTTTCGATCTCCAGTTCTAGTATGCATTAAGATGACATCTGAATTATTTTCTAATTATTATTTGTGCTTGGTTATTTTTAGGAAAGTTACTTTTCAAGTCAAGTACATCATAATGCAGAATTCTTTATCAATACCACCAAAAGATCAAGGTAAGAGACGCTATGCTGAGGAAAAGGTAATGTGTATGTTAAAAATAATTTATACATTAAGTGTCACTATCCTCTAATCATAAGGTGACTTATTTCCCAGAATTACAAACAGAAACTGTAATTATGTATAATAACTCAGCTTTCCAGCTGACCGTAGTTCGAGTCCCAGACCTGGCAGCTTGCTTTCTCCCTTTCTCTGTCCCACTCTCTCTCTCTCTGGTAAGCACAAATGTCCTATAGCAAATTAAAAACAATAATAATAATAAATAAAATTAATATTAAAAAATTAAAAGAGAGAGAGGTGACATTTGCTCAGGATACTAACATACGTGTAGAAGCCAACCAAATGGAAGAAAGGGACCAAGAGATGTGGTTTTAAAGCAAGGAAGAACAAGTAACATTGTAAACAGAGATCTAATGAGAAATTCTAGCTCTTCCTAGTTATGTGTTTTCTCATTTTAGATAAAGAGATTTCATTTCACATTGTAACATCCTCTAATGATAATTTTTGCTATCTTTTAAATTTTAGTGTCATGATTATTTCTTTCTGTGTAAGAGTATTACTTTACTTATTTTACCACAGCTTTTTATCTCTTATATTCAAAACTTGGGGATAAGATTTATAGTTTTCCCATAACTTTTTCTTTTTGGTATTTTCAGATGATGAGCTAATAGAAATGTAAGGATAAACATTCTGTGTTGGAAAAGAGTAAATTATAGAAAGTGGTAAACTGTGTTGGGACCAGCAATTAGAGTAATGGCTATGTCGCTGGATTCCCATGTAGTCGACCGCGGTTCAAGTCCTGGACCCAGTGGCTTAAAATTCAGGCCGGATGCGTGTGCATACGTGCCCAGGATCCTGAAAGGAGAATGGAGAAGGGATTGCAGCGTGGCCACTCCCCCTCGGGAGTGATTTCTCACTTTCTGTCTCTCTGTCTCTCTCTCTCTGTCTGGCAAGCACACGCGCCCTATAGCAAAAACCTCTTAAAAAAACAAAACAAAACAAAAAAAGAAAAACTGTGTTTCTCAAAAAGAGACATGTGGGCTGGCCTCATGGTCTAGTGGGTAAGAGGGCTAGATCCCACATAGCTGGCCATGTGATCCAAATCCTGGCTGGATACTGGTGCACTTATGCCCCAAATCCCAACTGGATGGAGAAATGGAACAGAAGGAATTACAATGTAACCATGCCCTGTTAGAAGTACTGCTTCCTCTTTCTCTTCCTATCACTCCCTCTGTCTTTCTGGCAAGCACACATGTCCTCTGGCAAAATTTTCTAAAAACAATGCAGAAAACAGCATCAGAGACCCAGCCTAGGTGGTGAAGCCTGTGGCCTGCTGGGCTGGAGTGCTGGAAGCCACCCTGAGGTTCAGATTCCACAGGTCAACCTTGAAAACACAGTGGGGGCACATGAAGACAGCCAAGCAAGCCCCTGAGGAGCTGGAGACTGGAGAAAGGGCTTTGCAGTATGATGAGACTCTGTTGAGGATCCTCTCTCTTTTTCTCTCTTTCTCACTCTCATGCATATTCACATGCTCTCTATTATTTTAAATAAATAAATAAATAATTTATGGCCAACTGTAGTTGTAACTTCCACTTTTAGATTTGTTGAAGGAAAGACAAAACCACCAGGAAGATGGAAAATAAAAGTGAATTTATTTACTTGCCAGATAAGAAAACTCACATGGGTAAACAGCGTGGCCAAATGGTTCTCTGACAGGAACAACTTACGTGTTTTATGTGCTTGGAAGGAGAAGTTCACCGAAGTTAGGCCAGAGTGATTGAAGTTCGCACACTGGCTAGGGCGAGGTAAAGTTGAAGTCCCTGCACTGCTGGTTAAAACTGGTCTTGCTGTCCGTTGGTCAGCAAGAGTCTTCATGTAAGTCGGTGGAGGTCTGCTTTACTGGAGCCATTCAAAATTGCTAGTTATTTGCCCAGCTTCATAGTTCAGTTTTATCATTTCATAGGCAAGTCTGCTACAAGTAGACATGTCTTTTTTTGTTTTGTTAGGTGTTTTCCAGTGTGCTCACTGGAGAGACAGACAGACAGACACAGAGACAGAAAGAGGGAAAGTGAGGATTCACCCCCACCTCAGGGGAATGGTCCTGCAGCAGTCTATTCTCCTCCATTCTCCTCATGGGATTCTGGGCACATGCACATATGCACCCGGCGTGATTTTTAAGCTGTCAGGTCCAGAGCTCATACCATGGTCAACCATGTGGGAATCCAGCACCTTAATCCCTACACCAATGGCCAGCCCCAACAGGTCTTCTATCAAGGTCTTCTACCCCTTTTCTCAATTCTGTCCTAACACTCGAGCTGCGTAAACATAGCTTTCCAATCATGAGTGCTGTTCCTGTTTAATGTCGGTAATAGGAAGTGTGTGGAAGAAAGCAGATGCTTTGAGACAGAGACACAGTCGGTCTTAATGGCCCCTCCAGAGCCATTGCTGTTAGCACAGCATTCCCTGAACAACTACTATTCGTTTTCAAAATCCGTGCATTATTTGACTGCAGAGCTGTAGCCATTTCTGTCTATCCTGTGAATTAGTATTTGGAGCTTCGGGGGCGGGGGGGACCTCAATTTTCTGTTTCAGTACAATACTTTTAAAATAAATAGTAATGGCACGACATGAAAATACATTCTTATGTCTTACAGACATAAACATATATAGTTACCTCTTACAGAAATGAACATCTTGATATTAATGAATATAGCATTTTATAACTTAAGTAAGGAATACTTGACAAGCTAGGTAATATTCATATCCTTTTAAATGTGTGAGGATGTGACTTTTATTTTGAATTAGTGTCATTAGTCCAAAGTCCTTGATAGGACTTATGCACGTATGCACACGCATCCGGCCTGAGTTTTAAGCCACTGGGTCCAGGACTTGAACCGCAGTCGACTACATGGGAGTCCAGCGACATAGCCATTACTGTAATTGCTGGTCCCAACACAGTTTATCACTTTCTATAATTTACTCTTTTCCAACACAAAATGCTTATCCTTATATTTCTATTAGCTCATCATCTGAAAATACCAAAAAGAAAAAGTTATGGGAAAACTATAAATCTTATCCCCAAGTTTTGAATATAAGAGATAAAAAAGATTTTCTGTCTTTATCAGAAAGGTTTATAGTGGGACCAGGAGATGGCATAATAGTTATGTAGCTGGACTCCCACATAGTCGACCACGGTTTGAGTCCCAGATCCAGTGACTTAAACTCACACCGGGCACGTGTGCATGCATACGCAAGATCCTGAGAAGAGAATGGAGGAGAAGGAATTGCAGCGTGGCCATCCCCCTTGGGGATGTGATTTCTCGCTTTCTGGCTTGCTGTCTCTGTGTCTCTCCAGCGAGCTCACATGCCCTATAACAAAAATGCCTCTCTAGACAAATAAAAAAAAAAAAAAAAAAAAGGAGGCTTAAAACATGCTGGCATGTGATGAGTTCTCCAAATATATATTAAATTATGTTGAAAATGCTTTAAATTCTCGAACCTTCTTTATAAATCATATCAGATGCTGTGAAAATGTTTTAATCTTTTGTTTTGTTTTGTTTTTTAATGAAACACCAAGCTGAAGTTCTAAGGTCAATGAAAGCAAACATTCTTTTAGCAAATGTTTATTCCCTTTGAAGAGGTGGTAACTAAGGAGCAAAGCCCTGAGCTCTGCTCCTCCAGCTGTCGCACCCAGCAGGACCCGGCTGCCTGTGCAAGCAGGAGTTACTTTTGGGGAATTTAACCTGAAAGTGGTCTATCATCTCTACATCCGTAAAGTCACCAGGAACTCTAAATTAGTAAATACTAAACCTTTGCTCCTAAGCAATATACAAGGTTACTTTCCTGTAGGCTCCTGGTTACCACACTCCTGCTTTATGTGTGTTTCTGTTTAAAGATACTTTATTTAATATATATTGATTCCTTAACATTGAAGTCACAGAGACACCACTGACTCACACCTGATTGAAGCTTTTTGAACTCATGTGTTTTCTCTATAAGACACATCACTGTCTTCTAGTTCTTAGTACACTAAATAGCACTTCAGCACTGTGCTTGACAGCCATTTTAAACAGTAAAATCACCCAAGAAAAGCACAGAAATGCAGACCACCATGGGACTGAACAGGCTGTGACAAGGACACTCAATTTACATATGGGAGCTGAAACAAGAATGCAGAGTAGAAAGTACCTGTCAGGTGGCTCAACTTTTGCACGTGTCCATGAATGACCACGAAAGTGCCGTGAGTATTGATTTGGAGGTTGCAAACTAATTTTACCAAGTAGGCAAATTAACAAATGAAGAATCTGCAAATAATGAGAATCAACTCGATGTGAATGTACCTTGAAAAGTCTTTCAAAGCACAGTAGAAATCTCAGGAGAATTTGCAGAATAAAAGTCATTTTGATAACATTTAACTCAGATATGATGACTTCGTGCCTTGTCAATATTTTACATTTTAAATTAATAGAGTAACAAATATATTAGTTGGAAGTGACCACAGTTCTTAGCTCAGTAAAGCTAGAAAGAAAACCACTGTTGCAAGTTCTTGGGCTCACCAGCTTTCACATTAATGCACAGTAGCAAGGGGGATCTACTGTAATCTGAAGTGTGGCCTTCATGGTTAACACTGTCATGTGACCTCATTATTGGAGAAAAAAATTCCCCCTGTCTTACTGAAATACTACGTTGCCAAATAGGTGAAATTCATATGGAAACATTTTAATAGTAACAAGTGGTATAGATGCTGTTCTTAGACTTTTGATTCCATTTTATACTGCAGACCAAGTACAAATTGACATTTTCAAGCTGGTTTGGGTTAACTCCTTAATGTTGGAAATTGGAACTTTCTGATGTAATGACTTCTGTAAAATAGCATGTTGTGCTGTTGACAGAACAAATGGAAAACACACACGTACCTATAGAAGTATCCTTGAGAACAAAGTGGAAATGACCCAGGTGGTTGCAACTATATCAAGTAGGCCTTATATGGAAATTA